GCCTCGCCAGCAATGCCTACTCTCGTTGGCACGGGAACATCGCTTGAGGTCAACCCGTCGCGGATCCTTGCCAAGCGCATTATGCTTACGGGCGCACCATTCAAGGTCAACAAGCGTGGCGCGGTAATCCGCTATATGTTCTTCAACCCAGAGGATATAAACTGGTTCAAGCCTATCCAGATCCATACAAAACACGGCCGGGTCGGGCATATCATGGAGAGTCTTGGTACTCATGGATACATGAAGTGCGTGTTCGATGGGCCAATGAAGCAGATGGACACGGTTTGCATGAATCTGTACAAGCGTGTGTTCCCCAAGTGGAACACGAGCCTGTGGTCTGAGTATGAGCAAGACGGCGTGCAGAGGAAACAATGGGCTGTTTCTGGTGTAGATCAGCCATCAACTGGAGAAGAAATGGAGATATAAATTGAGTATTCACGAAAGCTGACCTGTGAATCTCTTGGTTTCTTTTTTTTTTTTACTCTAATTAAAATTTTATAAACAGCAAGAATGAAAGCGCAACAAGATTGTGGTTCAAGCTAAAACAGAGTGCGGCATTTAGGTCTTTTTCTTCTTCGAGTCCTTGATAGTATATGAACCGTAGTCCTTTTCGGGGCTAAAGATTTCCCAGCGGTTGGCGGGGAATATGTGCTTGTTGCGCTCGTACCAGGAGCGCTCGCAGACCTTCCCCGCATGCGAGTCGTCCTTCTCAATCCGAACATCGTGCGTGAGCCTCACATCGTCGTGGACATCAAAGCTGAACAGGGGGCCGGACTTTCCGCGCGTCTTGTTGATGATAAAATCGTAGAAAGTATAGTGGTGCGGGATGATCAGATCCTCCTTGACATAAACAAGGCTATCTCCCTTGGAGCCGCGGAGCTCAGGGACCTGTGCTTTGCATTTGTCAAGGAACTGCGCAATCGTGTCGCCCTTCTTGCACCGGACCTGTTTTCGGTGACCAGATCCGTCCCAGAAACTGTATGTGATGGTGATTGCCTCCTCTTTAATCGCCTCTTGGTCTCGAAGCCACTTTTGCCGCAGCTCTTCACGCAGTCGTGCTTCCTCCTCCTCACGCTCCTTGTCAGGGAGAAAGCTGGTGTCCACGGCTGGGTTCTTCCGGGCCCTTTTGATAGGCACAACATCATTGTTTCCACCGTCGCTGCCGTTGTCGTCATCGTCGTCATCGTCGCCAAAAGACAAGGCACTCTTTTTCTTTTTGCTCTCCCTTTTGCCCTTCTTTTGCCTGCTCTTACCACCCTCGACAGACCCCAAATCAGATCCGCCCGCTCCCAGCTTTTCCGCGGAGCCTCTGTCGGATACCTTCTCAGAAGAGGACCGCCTGCGCACAAGCGTATTTGCCGCCTCTCGGCGCCTTTCCTCCTCGAGCTCGCCCTTGATCCGCTGGAAATCCTCAAGGTTAACAAGCCCGATCGTCGACATTTTGAGCTTGTTCTCGACGCTGGCTTCCTTGCTAACAAATCTTTGCCCGCTCTTGTTTGTTTCGCTAGAGTTTGCTCCTATTGTTTTTGATGTTCTTTCATCTGCTGGCCTTGCACGCTGTCCTTTCGGATGCTCTGCTCTCCGATCGGTGACTTTCTGTTCTACCATCTTGTCGTTGTGCGATCGAGAACGAATAGTGCAAAACAAAAACAAAGACTATCGAACTTTAATGACTAGGATTATAAGATGAAAAAGCGATAAAGAAAAAACTACCTTATTTCTACGTGTCGTTGGAAACGCGGACTAGTAGGTACGCTTCTATACAGTAGTCTGAAATTGAGGGGCGCATTCATGTGATGCGCAGAAAGTGAGCGACCAAAACATAAACGTATAATCCACATCAAGTAATGGAAGATATAACAGGTGTTGGTGGTTATATATTAATGCTTGACGCCATTATGGTTGAGGGCGCACAAACAAGAGGGTGGAGCTCTTTTTAGCATCATAAAAATAGGTGGAATTAAAATATTCTACGGTTGAAAGGTAGTCGAATGTAGCAAAGGTTATAGAATACCACGGTTACCGCAGGACAAAGTTCTAGCTCTTATCATTTTTGTTGGGTAACAATAGCCTGCGAGATGCGATGAATCTCTTGCCGCAAGATGCCCAGATTGACGCAGACATGTTGGTTGAGCTTACCGAGCGACTCGATCTTTATCTTTAGGTCGCCTAGCCGCGCCCGATCGAGCTCGCGCAACGGTCTGCTGCGCTTTCGTGGACCGCCGTCCTCTACGGTCGAAGCATTCGCGGTACTGCCACCATCGGGCTCGGTTCCGCCGCCCTGCATCGCCACGTCTTCATCGCTAGCAATAGCCAGCTGTCTTTTGGTCCCTGTGGTGGTGGTGCCTTTAGATGACGACGAAGCAGCCACTGCGGTGGTCAAAGGACCGCCACCAGCAGTAGCGCTGCTACGGTCAGCGACGACTAGTGGGGTGGCTGTGCCAGCGGTCGTCGATGCTTCACTGTTATTTCTCATATCCACCATCGCGCGGCGCTTCTCGTCATCCAGCTCAGTTTCCAGCTGCGATATTTGCGTCATCAGCACCGCACAGCTGTGGGTTAGCTCTTGTTCCCGGTTCTTGCGACGCTCGCGAAGCCGTGCAGCGCTCTGTGCGTTGCGTTTCCGCCGCTTCATAAGCGCATCATCGATTTCCTGTCCCTCTTCATCGTCATCATCATTGTTGCCTTCGTCGTCACTGCTGTCGCTGTTGTTATTATCGGCGCCACTTGGACTGTTTGCTTTAGGTACCGCCACTGCGTCCTGGCGTGTTATCACCTGCGTTGTTGTTGGATTCGTGTTGCTCAAAAGCTGCTGCTGCTTTTGCGGTGGCGCTATCGTACCTTCCTCTCTAGGCGTTATTGCTTTTGGAGGACCATGCGGTTGTGGCGGCAGTTGGATGGGTGATGTTTCCTGGAGACCAATAGACATATGCTCTATCGCACTGCCGATCCGTGTAGTAGGGCTGATAACAGACGTGCTTCCTATGCGGTTCATACCTGGGTGTTGGTGCTGTTGGTGCTGTTGGTGCTGCTGCTGCCTTTGATGGTGTGGGTGGTAGGGCGAGTGTGGCGAGTATCCACGATGGGCAGCGCTCGCTGGTGCAGGTGGCTGTGCTGCTGGATATGCATCATCACGTAATAGAGAATGGCTCTGTCTGGTTGGCGCATTGCCGCTGTATGCAGAAAGCGGATGTGGTTGTGCATAGTGCGACGGATTTTGTGGCATTGTTTGCTGATGTTGATAGCTTTGGTTCGGATGGTGATGCGGTTGTTGGTAATAGGAATGAGGGGTTGGGGGAGTTGTGGCAGGCGCACCATGGGAGGAGGTCGGCTGTGGTGGACGGTACGTTTGGCTGGATGAAGAAGGTGGGTAGTTGTGGCGCTGGTACTGTCCAGCGGAATAGCCCTGGTGGTGCGGGTGGGATGACGGGGGAGGCGAGTAAACCCCAGAATGGTCAGAGCCCCTGTAGCTGTCATAGGATGCAGATGGATGGTGTTGTTTTGTGGCATCAAACGAACGGCGGTGCGGTGGCGCAGAAGATGGGTGCTCATTGTTGTATCTGGGAGACAACACCTGCTGCTGAGGATACTGAGCATCTGGCGGCGGGCGATACTCGCCCTCCCTTATCTGCGACTGGGTGTGAGGGTGCTGGTGGGGAGCAGACGGGTAGTGGTGATGCAGGCGGTTGTATGCATAGGGCGTGTTTTCCATAGGTGACGCTTGCTGTTGCGAAGTATAGAATTGTGAAGCATCTCGGTTCACGTGCTGCGGGGTCATGTAGTGTTGCTGATTTTGTTGCTGCTGCTGTTGTGGTTGTGGTTGCTCTTGTTGCCCAGAAGAACGTGGAGGACTACCGCTTGTCAGCGACCGTATACTTGGAAGATAGTAGTTGCTTCTCCGTCTATCGGCATTGTCACCCATTCTCCAGCGGTTAAAAAATAGAGTCAGGAACGGGGGAAATAGTACCAGCAAACGCTTTTGAACCAAGCGCAATTATCTTCTCCTTTTCTTCAATGCGAAACTATAATCCTAGGATTTCTCAAAAGAGAAGACACGTCTCCTTTTTATCAATAATCCAAAAAAGAATAAAAAGTTCAAAATAACAATCAACTACACAAACAAAAAGTTACGATACCTTCAACTGAGGCTACCGGAAAACTCGAAAAGAGCGTTTATAAAAAGGCGAAAAAGGGGGAAATCAAAAAGGAAAAGCAGAGAAGAGCAGATTCAAGATATCTTTTTCTCTTGCTTTCTCAATATACGGCCTGACTCGCAGGAGAGAAAAATAAAAGAAAAGAGGGAGAACAAGGAACAAACGGGGGTATGAGGCTAACGCCGAGTCACCGCTCGCTGTAATGTCATCAGAGTAAAAATCGTCCACCCACTCACTCACTCGACCAATTGCCATTGGTTAAGGCTGTGATGACACACGCACTTATTCACCACTTTTAATGCACCTCGCCTGACGCGTTTCGAAATGGCTTTTGCTCCCCTGCTCCGCTTCAATCTCGTTCCTGGGGTGATGCGGCGGTACACAGAGTTGGGTTAAAAATTTTCCACGCTGTCTGCGCTTTTCTTTTTTGTTTTTGCTTTTGCTTTGGTTGCCTGCTCGTTTTTGTTGAAAATGGAGCTCTAGCTTTTCAGGGCCTCCCAAAGAGCGCAAAAATACTATAAGCTGTTGTCAGCTTTGCTTTCATTCCTTTTTCACTCTTGTTGTGCCAGATGCTGAATGATGCAACCTGCATGCACAATCATCGTCTCATTTCTGGTCATAGAATAATCCTTTTTCCCCAACCAAAAGCAGTGCAACAGACACACTTTTGTCAGCCCTGGAGAGTCAAAAGGCAAAAGTAATATCTCCAATAAGGTTCAAAATCGCCCTTACGATTCAACGGTTGAAGAATTGGATACAACGCCACTAGAAAAAAAGTGTGTTTCGTCAGAAGTCTCCTTCTCTATAAATAACTGAGAATCAGAATTGAAATTGGGTTAAGTTTCTGCTTTCTTGGCGCAGCCGGCAGCGCGTAAGTCTCATAATCTTAAGGTCGCGAGTTCGAACCTCGCAGAAAGCATTTTTTGTCTTATTTTTCAATATTGACAAAAGCTAACCAACCTATGGTGGCCAAAATAATTAATCCGTATTTTTTGTGGTGGTGGTGGTTGCACGCAATGCGTGTCATATACCATAAAATACGGAGACAAAACAAACAACGCTGCATAGACATCATTGCATAGTATCGGTGACCAAGTAAAAGACCATATCTCAAGAATAGCCACAAGCGCTTGGTGCATGTATAAATGCTTCAAAAATAGTCAGCAACACAACGCGATCCATTAACCATTATCCAGTGATTTAGCGCACTTAAAGACGAGATGATATTTAAAAAAAAAACAACTGCGTATACCCCTGGAGCCAAGAAAACTATAGAAAAGGGAAGGGAGTACTCAAATGGTAGTGTGGCCGAACAGATAGGAAACGGATTCACCATTGTGTGTGCGGCGGATAGCCTCAGCAAGGACGGCGCTAACATCGATGGTATCGAGCTTGGGGCAGATTTTCTTCTTCTCCGCGTGCGGGATAGTGTTGGTGACAACGACGCGGGTGAGCATGCTGTTATTGATAACATCGAGGGCCTTTCCAGAAAGAACGCCATGGATAACGATCGCGTAGACGGCAGATGCACCGTTGTCGACCAGGGTCTTGGCAGCAAGGCCCAGGGTGCCGCACGTGTCGGCCATGTCGTCGACCAAGATGGCCACCTTGTCCTTGACGTCGCCCACGAGCACCATACGCGACACCTCGTTTGCCTTCTTGCGCTCCTTGTGGATCAGCGCAAAGTCAAGGTCGAGGTGGTCGGCGATCGACGTGGCACGCTTGGCGCCTCCAGCATCGGGCGACACAATGATTGCGTTCTTGTGGTCGGGGATGTTCTCGCGGATATACCGCAGCACCGAGGGCTCGCCGTACAGATTGTCGACGGGGCAGTCAAAGAAGCCCTGGATTTGACTGGCGTGCAGGTCCATAGTGACCACGTGGTCGGCGCCGGCAACTGTCAGCATGTTGGCAACCAGCTTGGCAGAAATGGGCGCACGCGACTTGTCTTTCTTGTCCTGGCGCGCGTACGGGAAGCATGGGAGCACGGCGGTGATGCGGCGCGCCGACGCTGTTTTGCATGCGTTAATCATGATCAGTAGCTCCATCAGGTGATCGTTGATCTCTCCGCACCCGGACTGGATGATGTAGACGTCCTCGTCGCGTACGGACTCGCCAATGGTCACTGCGGTCTCCTGGTTCGAGTACTTTGCGACAGTAACGTTGGCCAGATCGCTGCCCAGGCGCCTAAGTCAACTTGATATTATGAAAACGGGCATGTCTTGAGTGAGTCAAAGTCCCTGGATCTAGAAAGAACATCAATTTCAGGGGGTGAAAGGGGGTAAAAACTTACTTTGCGATAAGCTTGGCTAGAGCCGGGTGCGAATTGCCAGCAAGAATCCGAATAGAGTTGCTCGACATTGTTTGGTAGCGATAACGAAAAAAGGAAACAGGAAACCCTCTATGGCTATATACAGCGGCTAATTTACTAAGAGTACCGAATAAAAAAACAAAAAGATAAAGGTGTATAGAATTCAAAGAAACAAGAAAAGAAATGCAATAGGTAAAAAAATATAGTCCCTTTTCGTTGTTGGGGGCGAAAAAAAAGAGTCAATATGCAGCACCACCCTCTCACGATAAAGATGAGTAAAAAACAGAGGTACAGAAATAACCCAGGGCAGGGCTCAATATACTTGAACCACTCAAAAGCAACGGCCACTCGTTCCTCTGCCATTTGTGGTGGAATAACACTATATCGGAGCGGCACATTTACACCCCCAAAATTTTTTTTAACCGTCAGCCTGGGCAAGAAAAATTTTAAAGCTTTATCGCAGATAACAGCAGATGAATTTGATTGATGGCTTGATCAGCCTTTTGTCATATACAAGCCTGTGGCACGTGCTTGAGTTGGTGGCGGCATGTCTGCCAAATGCTTGGCCTAGATACAAAAACAAAAGTCAAATTCAGCAGGCAAGATATGATAAAGAAAAAAATAAAAAGATCCTTTTATTCTGAGAATCAGGACCTGTTCTGTTGATGCATCATAGCCAAATCGCAATAGCCAAGCTAGAAAAGCAAAAAGGTGGCTGCAGGGGAAGACTAAACACCTGCACTTTCGCGCTCTAGTAGCAGCTCCTTGCTAGCTTTTTTCTGCAAGTGCTTGGAAAAAGAAGCAAGAAAAGCTTTCCGTTTATTTATAAAATGTGAAAGTGATCGTCATGATGTCACCTGGAATTTTCCACAAAAAAGGTGGCAACAGTCCACGGCTGTACGACAATGAACATTCCATTCCATTTATCGACAAAATAAAAACACAAAGAGCGGGCTTACTGCTTACACAGATCCCTTTCCCCATTCTATAGAACACATTATTTCTACCAGGAACATTCGTTTCTGGAAAATGTTGGATGTAAACAACAAAAGACCATTACATAAATTGAGCAAGAATCCTCTCAGTCTTTCTCTCCACCCCCTCTTTTTAGCAACATTTGATTCCGTTTTTTCTTATATTACGCAAGAACCTATTTATCCTCCCTCTTCTCTCCTTTTTGCTGACGTTTGTCATACTCTTCCTTTCTTCCTTCCTTCCCTCCTTTCTTCATATTAACGCAGCTTTTTAGAGCAAAGCCATGAAGTCTTCAGTGCTGACACTCGGCGGGATTCTGTGTGCGGCAGCAACGGCCCTGGCGGCCATGGATCCGATAGTGATCAAGGGTAGCAAATTCTTCAACGAAAAGACCGGCGAGCAGTTCTTCTTCAAGGGAGTGGCGTACCAGCCGCGCACAGGTCTCTCGTCGGCGGACCCCGACCCATTGGCGGACGTCGAGGGGTGCAAGCGCGACGTGGCAGCGTTCAAGGACCTTGGCATCAACTCTATCCGCGTGTACGAGGTGGACTACAACAACAACCACGACGAATGCATGAAGATGCTGGAGGATGCCGGCGTGTATCTGCTTCTGGACATGCCGTCGCCCAAGTACTCTATCAACAGGGCGCAGCCGTACTGGGACCACGATCTGATGAGCCACTGGGCGGCCAAGGTCGATACGTTTACCAAGTACGGGAACCAGGTGGTTGCGTGGATTGCCGGCAACGAGGTGGCCAACGATGTGGACACAACGCCGTCAGCGGCCTTTGTCAAGGCAGCAATTCGCGACATGAAAGCGTACCTCCGGTCCAAGGGCCTCAAGACGCCCGTCGGATATGCCGACAACGACGACATGAAGATCCGCATGAACCTCATCAGCTACTTCAACTGTGGCGACGAGGATGCGCGTGCCGACTTCTACGGCATCAACATCTACCGCTGGTGCGGCGACGAAACAGATTTCCAGACATCGGGGTACGCCGACGTCACCAAGAACATGACAGGGTACTCGATTCCGTCGCTGCTCACCGAGTTCGGGTGCAACATTAACCGCCCGCGCACGTTCCCCGAGGTCAAGTCCCTGTACGGATCTGACATGAGCGGCACGTTCTCCGGCGGCATCATGTACGAGTACTCCGAAGAGGACAACAAGTACGGCATCGCCAAGGTCTCCTATGGCAACTCCAAGTTCGAAAAGACCGCCGACTATGACAACTTCAAGAAGGCCATGGCTGCTGTCAATCCCGACGGCGTCAAGATGTCAAGCTACTCGCCAAAGGACAAGGATAGCACGTGCCCTGCGGTCAGCAGCGCATGGAAGGTCAGTGCCGATGCGCTTCCTCCGACGCCGTCGCAGGAGCGGTGCCAATGCATGCTGGACTCGCTTGGCTGCACGTTCAAGAACATCGACCTGAGCGCATCGGAGGGCAAGGCTGTGGGCGAGGCGGTCGGCCACATTTGCGGCCAGACCAGCTGCGCCGAGGTCTCTTACGACACAGAGAAGGGCGAGTACGGCAACTACGTGGCTTGCGACTCCAACCAGCGCTCCGCATGGATCGTCAACAAGAACTACCTTAACCAGAACGGCGCAAAGTGCGAGATCGATGGCGCCGACACCGTGGCTGTCCAGTCGCCCAAGGTCAAAGACGACTCCACGTGCCTCACAAAGAAGGACGACACCGGCTCCTCCGGCTCCCCATCGTCCAACGTCGGCAGCGGTGGCGATAGGGAAGCCTCTGACGACAAGGACTCTTCCGATAACACCAAATCGTCAGCAGCTTCCACCGCTTCTGCGCTTGCCAAGCTGTCGGCTGCCGTGGCTATTGCGCTTTACGCATTCTAATCCAACATCCCGGGGGTTCAATACTTGCTCTAAAACCCTTCTAGGCACGTTTGTTTAAACACATTTTTCAATACACAGTACATTTGAGTGACATTGATTTTCCGTTGACTTCTCCCCCCTCCACTCCAACTAAAAAAAAAAAGCTCTCAGAGAAAATCCCTTGAAAGCAGGGAGCAGATCCCGGATGAATCGCTTTTGTTTTCAAAGGTTCTGTGGATCAAAGTCTGCGTAATGATATTTTCTCCCCTCTCTTTCCTTTTCTCTCTTTTCCCCTTCTCTCTATTCTCTTTCTCTCTATTCTCTTTTTTACTGTATTTGTTTTTTTAAATGGACGACCAGCGCGCAACGATTGTGCGCCTGCTCGGCGAAGCAACATCGCAGGACCCGGTACGCATGGCGCGGGCCGAGGAGGAGCTCCGGGCATGCGAGACAAAGTACAACCATTTTGCCATGCTGTTCGACATCTTCAGTACACGATCCACGACACCGCGGCAAACGCGGTGGCTGGCAATGATCAATTTCAAGAACGGCATCGACAAGTACTGGAAGAAGGCCGACCTATACCGCATCGGGCTCACCGAGAAGCAGACCATACGCAAACACCTGATGGACTACTTTGACGAGGACGACGCGCTGATCGCTGTCCAATACTGCTTGGCGGTTGCGCGGATTGCACGCTGGGACTTTCCCCGCGTATGGCCCGAGTTCGCCGATGATCTGCTTGCCTGCGTACGCTCCATCGCCCAGGACACAGGCGACGTACGCAGGC